GTGTGTGTGTGTGTGTGTGTGTGTGTGTGTGTGTGTGTGGGCAGCTTCCCTCGACTTTCTGTTTCACATTATAACATTTAAAAATCATTGGCTCCATGCAGAATTAAATACTAGTGCACTGCATACTCCACAGTCTACACTCTATAATGCGAACTACTGTAAATAATAAATAATTACTACTGTAAATAATTCACTAAAATGAATCAGACTTCCTTTATGTGAGAGAGAAAACAGGTCAATCGACTTAAACGCTACAATGAAAACTGGAAAAGTATACATGCCGAATAACGTGGTAATGCTACTAAAACACTGATCCAGAAGTGTTTTGAGGTGGAAAAGCGTGTGCATGTGTGTGTGTGTGTGTTTGGATGCAGTCCAGTAGTTTGAGAGATTGGCACGCTTTAAGAGACGCTCTGGAATCAATAAACACCAAGACAGAAACACACAGACTCCAGATATTTCATCCAGTCTGAAATCACAGCTCAAACATTCAACATGACAAACAGCCGGAAACACGCGGCCTTCTTAATGAGTTTGATGGGATCGCTGTATTGATCTGTGGGCTTCATTAAGACCCAGCGTGAGTTTGGAAAGGCCGGATTTTTCCAGACTCTCCATCACGGATATTATTTAATATGACTGATGTCACAGAAGTGAGTTATTCGAGTGAGACGCTTCGTCTCTGATTTATCATTCACAGACAGAATCCAGCCATAGCTCAAGCGATCTCGTTTCCTCAGCAGAAAACTGTTATGATCCATGCTGATGTTTGTCTCTGGATTATTTTGAAGCAATAGCCTACTGTAATTTTACTATGGTAAAGAAGCGTTGTTTAGGCACAATGTGAAGTGTAATATTCATATATAATTGATTTTGCAGTCCCATACAGTGGCATGAAGCGCAGCTCATCCGATCAGATTGTAATGTGTTTTTGCTGTTGTGTCCTGACAGGAATCACTGTGTTGCTGTCTCTCACCGTCTTCATGCTGCTGGTGGCCGAGATCATGCCCGCCACCTCTGATTCAGTGCCTCTGATTGGTAAGTGCAGCTGTCAATCACAGCGTGGGGGCGGGACTGATGTGTGGGCTTAAACAGATGGGAATGAGTGACACAGATGGAGAGAAATGACGGCGGCTGCTTTAGAGACCCTGAAAACCGAGATGCAGCAAACTGCATTCATCACATTCATGGCTATGTATCATCCAGAAATGGGCCGCTTAGAAACGAGCGCGATCGCTCACTCTGAACGCTCCCGATGGAGTCTCATCCTGATGCCTGAGTGTGTTATTTGTCTGTTCCCAAACGGACCATTACAGAGGAAACCCCATCGGATAATGTCAGAGGAAAGAGCTTTTTCATACTGAGAGCTTCTATTTAATAACTTGGTTATGGTTGACGTTCACAAAAGGAGATATTTAGCTGAATGTTCATGCTGTTAACTGATTGATAAACTATCGAACATAAAATTAGCAATACATAAAAAAATGCATTGATTTTAAATACATTGTTATTTACTGACAGCTTTATTTATGCTAAATCTGCAATGATGGTACCGATTTTTCAGTATTTTTGCTATATTTATTTTTTATTTAAAATTCCAGTTTTATTTATTTGTTTGTATTTATTTAAAATTAACACTACATAAAAAGTGCCTAATTTTAAATACATTAAATGCTGGTTACTCTTATTTAGTGACAGCTTCATTTATTCTACATCTGCAACAGGGTCACTAATTTCTCTGTATTTTTATTGTATTTATTTTACTTTACAGTCCAATTTAAATACATTTTATTTCATTTTAATTACATTTTATTACATTTAATTTTTTTATTGCTATATAAAATAATGACATCAAACAAATGAAGGGTTTAAACTATTCAGCTAAATGCATAAATGTAAATGATAACAGCAAAAATTGCAAACTAAATAAAGTAAATAGTAAATCAAATTAAACAGGATTTATTTAATGTATATTTAATCATTTTTAATTACATTTTATTTCATTTCATTTTGTGTTTATTTAATGTTTATTGTTATAAAATAATGAAATCAAACTAATTAAACAGGAATTTAAACTATATTCAGTCTTGAATTTTGATATTTGATTTATGAATTTTCACTTTTGACGAAAGTGTCTGAAATATGTTAATATAAATGTAAATGATACCAGCAAAAATTGCAAACTAAATAAATAGTAAATAGAAATATAATGTTATTCAATTAATTTTTTTTTATAATTTTGTATTATTTTTAAATGTAATTTTATTTAATTTCGATTTTTTTATTTCGATTTTTGCTATAAAATAATGAAATCAAACAAATAAAATGGGGTTTTAAAGTGTATTCAGAGCAGTCTCAAGTTTGATATTTGATATGAATTTTCCTCATTTGCAAGTCACTTTTGATAAAAGCATCTGCTAAATGCATAAATGTAAACATCAACAGGGCTGAAAAAATTGCAAACTAAAGGTAAATATTAGTGCTGTCAAATGATTAATCGCGATTAATCGCATCCAAAATTAAAGTTTTTGTGTACATAATATATGAGTGTGTGCTGTGTATATATATCACATACAGTATATATTTCAGAAAAATGTTATGTTTATATATTAAATATATTTATTTATAATATAAATTATAAGAATATAAATATAGACATGTAAATATTTTCAAAATATATACTGTATTTATATACTGTTACATAATAAATATACACAGAACACAAACATATGCAAACAAAAACTTTTATTTTGGATGCGATTTATCGCGAGTAATCGTTTGACAGCACTAGTAAATAGTAAATATTATTTTTTTTTTTTATATTAAATGTGTATTTTTATATATAAAATTTAAAATCATA